CAGCTCGCCTGTTCCCTTGCACATTCAAGATGACTATTCGCGTCACATGGAGGAAGAACGTCGCCGCCACTGTTCCGATCCAGTGGCTGCCTTTTTGAATCGTCAGTTCCATGATGAAGATCATCATCATCATTATCAAGACAATAAGTTGATGGTGCCATTGCAAGTTTGGGGAAACCGCAACCAAAATTGGCAAGTCTCCGCTATCAACCAACAGATACTGCGGCCAAAGCCCGTTCGGCCCACTGCTATGCTTTCATGATTCATATACATAAATGAATGCTCAGATAGATTTGGGAATGATTGTGTTCCCTTTCTTGTATAATCTGTACTGTAAATAAGTCTTACTGCTATGATGTAGATTTTCTCTTGACACATTCCTTAGTGTGATGGCTAGTTGTAGCCGCTACTTTCTCTTTGAAGCATACTGAATCGAGTACCGGTATATCGGCGTGAGTACGAAAGGTAGCATTTTTTGCGGTGTTGAATAAGACTAGACAGGAATCTTTTCGTTTGACGGATACAATTCATTATATTTATATATATATATATATATAAGATTATTCATACATGCAATCTGACAATCCTTTACATGCCGTCACTCTCAGTGCATTTCTCTGGAGCCGGAATCCGACTGCGCAGTTGTCATTTCACCTTCTTTCTCTGCCTCTCCTTTGCCGCCATTAAAGGCACGATCCACCACTTGATCGATGACGACCTCGTCCTCGTCCTCCTTTTCGGCACGCATACTTGTATCATTCTGATCTTTTTCTTCTTCTCCTCCTCCTTTATTGTTTCGATTATCAGCAGGTGGTTCCGTCATGCCTTGTTCGGCGGCAAGATACCATTCGGTGAACAAAAAGGCAGTGGTAATCGAAAGGACAAAGGAATCGTCAAACATTTGCTCGGTCATTTGGATCCATTCCTCATTCGTCGAGTCGTCGTCCAGCAATGGATACAGTCCATCCCATCCCATGGAATGTGACATAATGAGCATTCCAATCCAAAATCGTTGGAGGGCAATGGTTTGCATGTACCCCACCAAACGAATGGCCCAATGCTTGTGCTTGGGAATGTCTCTCCAAAAAGCGTACCTCCATGCTTGGGCGACACAAAAGATGCTGGCGCAGCACAGAATGTATGAAACAAGTTTGACAATGTGACTCTTGGTCGTTGCCGCCAAACCAAATCCAGTAATGGTTTGGACCAACAGCACAACCATCAAAAAGCGGCCCAGCATGCGATGGAATTTCTTGTAGTTGCGTCGGATCTTTGGAATCAGCTGCAAAAAGTACAGATTCCACCACAAAATGGCCCCAATCACATGGGGTAAAAAATAAACGTATCGCACATCCGAAAAGTAGGATTTGGTGGTTTCCTGAAATCCGAGTTCGAGCTCTTCTACTGCCCCGTCGTTTTCTTGAATGCGCTTGAGATTGTATCGCTTGTCCCAGAATCGATTATTCAATACACCCGACATGGAGAACGCCCATGTAATGATGTATAGAAGAAAGAGGCAGATGGCGACAAGTCGATGGCGGCAGGACATATTTGTTTTGTTTTTTGTTGGGGTGTGTTTCGTGTTCAGATTTTCAATTTATGAGATCGTCAAAGAGATCTTTCTTGGATTCTTGTGATGCGCCAAAAGGTGTATTGCCATCATCTCCTTTAGACATGATTGTTCGGATTGCTTCTTTAGGTACAATGCTGGTGAATACCGGTATTCGATTGCTGCAGAGTAATGTTCCATTGGAACATCACGATTTGTGGTTTTGTATCGTGTTTCAAATGATAGTCACTAAAGGAGTACCCTTGAGTCATATGGGTCGGCGATCCTACTGACCCTTTCATCATCTTTACCACCTACTAAAAATCTGCCGTCTGACCTTGCGCACACACGAAAAATCGTCAAGCTCCCTCATCACTGCAAGATAGGATAATAGTGTAGCTACAGGTACGATGATGAAAGGAGATTGGTGTCTCGACAACAACAGCAACAATGACAATAGGAGGAGCATACGATGGAATATGGAGGCAGTAGTAATGGGATAGAGGAGACTGATTGTATTGGGGTTTTGATTTGGTTGATTGATGATTGGATTGTGGAACTATTGACCGGTGCTATGGAATGGAAGCTGTCTACAAAGAGTTACCAGTTGGATCCATCGATCAATGCAATCAATCAATCAAACAAACAAACAAACAAAATACTGTGCAATGCAAACTATTTTGATCTCCTTGGTTACTGCTTCATGCAATTGCTCTGTTGAAAGTCTTGCTGCTGTTGGAGACATATCGTCTTGATGAGATGTTGAAATCTATTTACAGACCTGTTTCCTCACATTTGCTCTATTTCTCTTTTACCATTTCCAGAAGTATTATCTATTTGCCACAATGACTGTTAAGAGACGCAACCACGGACGCAACAAGAAGGGACGCGGACACGTCAAGCGTGTTCGTTGTGTTTCCACCGGAAAGGCCATCCCCAAGGACAAGG